ATGATCAAACTTATGCAAATTATAATGAAAGGTTAAACCTTTCAAAAGGCCCGATGACCAATTTTATTTCTAATACGAATTTACATTGGGATTTACAAAACCCCAAACCCTAACCTTAACCATGGTCCCGGACTCTGTCCCCAACCCTAACCAGTCGAAATGTTGAGACATGCGCAGACCTCTATTTAATGATATTTTCATTTCAAATATGGCGGCCAATCCGATGTCTGACGACCCTTACAAAGAATCTAGGCAGTTTGCATTTTTACCTCCTGTGAAATAACAAGTGGAATTTAGTCGTTGTTTTGTGTTTTATTATCATTCTGCATCGTAATTCTATGTGATGTGGTGTTGAAATGTCAGCAGAAATACATATCCATACGATAATCGAGTGAATCAGATAACAGATTTTTCGAAAACCCGTCTCGTGCTAAGAGTGTAAAAACTTGTATTAACATGCTCAAAAGTGCCAATGAGCACATCAATGTCAAGCTAAATCAATGTTGTGTCTAAAACAGGTACCTGATCTACTCAAAACAGCTTGTCATTCACGTTTACACGCTTAGCAAACACCGCGAAATGCTCTGAATCTTGGAATTTCGTTCGAGAGCTAGTAATGTTTGCTCCGGTCTTTGTCATAAGTGTCATCAGACTTCACGCATGCTCAGGAGAAAAACCATCAACCAATAACGTTTTATAAATCAATTTTGCGCATGCGCCTTACAACGGAAAAGAAATTCGCATTTATAAACGAACCAATTTGAGATAACCCGATATCAGTCGGAGAAACTTACGATCTACGAAACTCACTTCAAAAAATCAAATGCGGACTGACGGCGTATTCTACTATGTTTGGATCTAAGATTTTCAGTATAGATAAAGTCTTTTATGATCTTTCGAATGAGGTAAGTCTCTAGTTCGAAAGACAATCGTATCAACTTGAACAAAAGTTGAGTTTTGACGAAAAATTTTAACATGCGCAGAAGTCCCATTTTCGTTGTACCATATTGACTGTAACCCCTAACTTTAATCCTTTTTTGGAGATGCAATTGTGGAAACAATTGTGAAAACAATGAAACATGTATTCTGCTTCGCTACTGGAAGACCTTATAGTCTCATACACATGCATGTGACATTATATACGAGGGTTGTCCCAGAAGTAATGCACTATATGCTCTAACTTTTTTTAATATTCTTCAATTCAGCTGAAAATTTGTGTATATAACAATTGAAGTTTTATCTATTATATCCTGAAGTTTAAGCATTAAACATTAATATTAAGTCTTAATATGGTTGCTATAACAACACGGGGGTAGGGGTGGGCGGGGCAGGTACCAAATTTTCTAATTATGAAACGATTTAAAGTGTTATTTTATTAATATTTCTTTCCTTTAGATGATCAAAATAATTGGGAAATTGTTAAATTTATTCAGCATGATGTTAACCAAGTACAAATAATGACATTTAGCACTGTGATATCATAATACCACACTTCAATAGTCAAGAATTCAAATACAGTCACAGTCAAGAAATTGTAAAATGGCTGCAATTCTCACCTGATACCAGAAGGCCTTGCGTTTGGTGGCCTAATTTCATACCTCACTTGGACTCACAGACACGCAAAACAATGCTATCATGAAGAAAGTATTTAAGGAGTTTATACCAGATAGAACTACAAATATGGGGTGGCAGAAGAGATTTAAAAGAGACGATTTGACCCTGGATGACAACTCCAAACATGGGAGGCAAAATCTCCACAAGTCACAGTGGAGAGAAATTGCCAAGAGTGTTTGACCTGACAGGCATCAAAAGTACACAACATGCAAAGGGCAATATTTTGAGAAAATGTGAAATGGGACACTATGCAATATACATCCATTAAATCTTGGATGTGCTCATGGTAATTTAGTATCTTAAAATGTATTTCAGAGCATACTTCTTATAGCTACACTGGTATTTGTTGATTAAATATTTCATATTTTAAATTTTTTATTCCTTTTGGCGTGACTGTATAACCTGCCCCGCCCTACCCAAACTCACCAACTTGATTTTATTATAACATCAATATAGTTTTATCAGTCAACATGAAATTTCAAATTTCTTAGAATAATCAAAATGTCTCTAAGGAACATTTACTGAAAATTTCATGGAAAAATATCAATTATTGATAAAGTTAGAGCATATAGTGCATTACTTCTGGGACAACCCTCGTACTAAATCTCTTGATGTGTGCGCATCTTGTTTACTAATTTTGAGTCACTTTACTAAGAACTTTGAAATGGAATGCTCTAAAGTCAATTAACTACCTTGGTGTTAAAATTGTGAATATCTTGACTGGAAACAACTAAGAAACTTGGAACTTGAAACAAAGTTATCTTGCACAATTGCAATTTTTCATAAATATACATATATCTGTTGCCACAATTTACCATCAATAATACTTTGAATTCATTTTTATTTATCATTTTTAATTTACCCCCCCCCCCCCCTCCCCCTCATCACAGAAGCCTTAACCACCCTAAATAACTTGCCCTTGATTCATTTTGGACTCAAATCAAATGTTTCTACAATTGTGCCAAGTTTGTTGTTTTCCTGAAAAAGACGAACAAAAGATGGAGATCTGACTCCACTCTTAACCACTTTAAGTATATCAACATGACATACATTTCTGGGGGTGTCTCAGTCAAATCCAACAGTATACAAAGAAAACAACATTTTATATAGTAGTTAATACATTCTACATCAAAACATTTAAAGTCATATCATTAATTCTATTCAAAAGAGTCTGTATAAGTATGATAAAGTATGCAACAATGTCTCTTTTCATAGGTTCGTGCACCGCCATCCCTGAGATTATATTTCCATGGGTAACTCAAGATCTATAATCATTTGGAACCTTCTTTCCCATGATGTTGAGGCAATAGATTACAAAATAAACGGACATGTAATTAAATTTACTTTCTATTGCTTCCAGTCCTGATGTGGTATAGTATTAATTTAAGATGATCCCCTACTACTAGCACCAAATGTACTTTGAGACGGTCCCTTTCGAATTTAACGTAAACAGGCCCCTAACTAGTTAAACAGCGAGATATATTAGCATATACACTTATTGTTGAGAAGGTTCAATTTCAGAATGCTTACAGATAGATCCCTGTACACGTTTTATTCTGCAGCATAACGCGATCAGGAAGGTTTCTGCAATATTCCCACTGAACTGCCAGAATTCGCCTTTTGTGCCAGAACAATATATAAAATAGGACGAAATAGCCACTAATCGATTGACATTTCGGTCATTCTGCGCCACCAGAAGAGTTGCTTCTGAATCAAGAGATGGAGGCAATTAGAACAAGGTAACCGTTTCGACATATTTTATATCATTAACACTGCCGGATCCAAAGGGGGCCATGGGCCCAATTTTTGGGTTTAGGGTCCCCAAACCGTTTCCTTGTTACCTTCTGGATCCGCCAGTGATTATCTATCGGATCTATAAAAAACATATTTTTTCACCCAAAAGATCTAAATACTCGTAGTGTGTTAAAAGAATTACTTCTCAGTGTGTATAACGTTTGTCGAGCATTTTAGCAATTACTATGACATCAGTTAAGTGAAATATGATATTTTTGCATACAGTAAACAGTTTTTCTCATCAGCCCTTAGCATAGGATTTCATTCATTAACTATTAACTATTATACTTTTTTATAGTTAGGTTTTAAAGTTCAATGGAAATAAGAGGGCAATGTGATCACTTTACAAAAATAGTAGCATCAAGAAAGTAACTGGTCGAATAAGCAAGAATGGATTATTGTTTCGATAATGCTATCACTGGTCAATATCAGAAGGCAACAATATGGTAACGAGCTGATAGAATCATTGCATCAACACATGGTATTGGAACTGTTTATTGGAATCTGGAGTTTTTAAGTCATGCGAGTTTGATATGGTAGCAAAGCCGAATGTCCGCTGTTATAAATTCGAAATGATTAGTAGATATTGATTCATTCATGAAGAGGATGGATGAAACAATCCAAAAAATCTAGACGTTTCATGAATAGACTAGATGCGAGTAGAAATGATCCTGATTTAGTCATTAAAATTCAGTCAAAGTGATATCATATTTGAAATCTACATGCAAAATTACATCCAGAAATCTTTAGTTTTAATTGGAGTACGTAGACGCAACCCTGTACTTGAACAGTAGATATAACACTGGAGAGGAACTCTTTTAACGAAGATAGGGTGATTTCATCCTTCAAATCACAATATAATATTCGGCAAGTATGTAGTTCGTGAGTTCAGGTTTCAAAATAGAATTATAACTTAGAAATTGATTCTGCCATTGCATTGCATCACAAATCATTACCCTCGATTAGGAAATGAGATAAGTTTTTTAATGAAATATACCTTCCTTGTATCTTAGACCGGGTGCTTTTCTGCAAAAGGTCTCTCTGTGAAATGTGGTAGGCGTTTTGTGTTAAAAGTGTTCTGACAAGTGTTTCTTATGTAACTTTTTATGCTGAATCCAAAAAACCATGTTATCAAGCTGAAATATGATTATTTAACCCTTAAAATACCATGTTAGTCCCCCCTCCCCCACAATTCACCCCTATCAGGGGGAAAAAATTCTTCAACCAAAAATAACTTTGATTTTATGGTTTCTGTAAGTGAAATACATGGACATTGTATAAAATAAACATTTGAAGAATGAATGATACAGATTACCCCTAAGAAATTTGTATAAAAGCAAAAAGTATGTACCCCAGGGGGCAAATTTATGACCCATTTTTTACTTTTCGTGTCATAACTTTTTTATTAGACAATGATGTATGCTAAAAAAATCCATGAGAAAGGCTTAATACCTGATATACCAATTCTGGAAGAATCAAAGTAATTCCTCTGGTAATTGCCTTTAAAAAAATTAGTGAATTTAAGAAAAATGACATTTTAGCTTGGCCATTTTATGTGTGACTATAACTGACCCCTATTGCTTTAACATTTATCCCTCTGTGTTCATATATTTGGCATTTTAGAATAAATCTAAAATACATAACTTATTTAAGCTAAGTTTTAGGAAGATTTAAGCTTTTTAGCATGTTCAAATATTAAAAATTCATGAAATATGATGTCTAAAATTGATAAGTTATAGGTATACCCTTGGAAGACCCGTATAGTTTCTTATTTATGAACATATTTGTACCAATAATAGTTTTCTAGCTTAGAGAAATAATGTATGATATCTCCTGGCTTGGCTTTCTGGTGGTTTGAAAATCTTAGGTGTTATCATTGAAAGTTCATTCTTAAATCATAGGTCTGCAATCAATCAAATTAAAGTATACCATTAGTATCATTCTACTGCTATGAGCATAATTGAACTAGCTATGATTTCATAGATTAGTTGTTTGATGTATGACATATTCCGAGCTGATTTTCTGGTGATTTTAACCATCTAAGAGGCTTAATCATTCAAAACCATTACAGATAAAGGTTGAAACGGACAGTATTAAGGTAGATTATTAGAATACCCTTATTATTTCCAGGCTTCGAGTATGTTGGTACCTACTACTGTCTCATAGCTCGGAGGTTTGATATATGACATATTCTGACTAGTTTTTCTGCAGATTTGAACCACCTAATAGGTCTAATCATTGAATATACTTAATAAACTATGTCTAAAATTGAAGTATTCAATAGAACCCTCTATGAGAAATTCAGAAAAGATTCAGAATCACATTAACCTCAACATTGGATCTGAATCAGAAATACAATTCTTCACAGAGCTGAACAAGGAAGACAAGGCTAATTTCATTCTAAGCAGCCTGACAATTGCATGACGTGAGAGAAAAAGTACAAATGATTCATACAAATCTTCATTTTATGGAGTTTTCCTCCCTGAATAATGTTAAGTCATTTTGAACCCCCCCCCCCCCCCCCCGTCACCATTAACTTTTCTGTGTTATTATTGGAGCTAAGGCAGAAATCCTTAACAAATGGAGTATACTCACTTTGACAACATTTTGAATTGGATGTTTCAGTTAATGAGTCTTTTTGCAGAGTAGCATTTTTTGCAATTTAAATCCAATAGGACCCTATATGGGAAATTCAAAAAAGATTCAGAATGACATTAACCACAACATTCGATCTGGAAATCAAATAAAGCAACTGATTGATGTGATCTTGGATGACTCTTGTAAATCAGAACTACAATCCTTCGACAAGGAAGACAAGGATAACTTTTCATTCTGGTAGTAGTACATGGAAATGGTCCAAATCTTGCTACGCTTTACCATAGCCCAAAGAAAGGGAAATTGGGAGCTCCATCTCAATGTATTTCAATGCATGATCCCCTTTTTCATGAGATATGACCACCAAAAGTATGCAAGATTGGGCACAGTACACTTCACTGCTGAAGTTTTGCTTCCTTGAAGACTGTAGCCAAATCCTCAGATGTAGATGCAATTGATGCTAATTTGTAAGAAGGATCATATATCCGAAATATTGCGGGTGGCATTTTAATACCATTTGTTAAACAGTTAAGGAGTAGAGTGCATTTGAGTTGGCTTGAATGTTTCATTCGTCAATGAGAGGACTATTGGAAAAGACATCAGCTCATGTTTCATTATTTCATTGATGCCCACAGGTCTGTTGTTAGCTTCATATGCAGTGATAAGATTCTGCAAAACATTCTTGTCTGCCCTTACAACTTTATGCTCGTTTATATTGGGATTAGGCACATAGTTTAGAAAATGTTGGTGCTTGCTCAGTAGATCAAGAAATGTTGTGTCTTTCATTTGACTCTGTTGGTATCAACCTCTAAGACACAAAGACATCCAAACTGTCGAGCCTGTTGATTGTTTCTGTGAGTACATCTTTTGTACATATACTTTGGATATTAAGTAATGGATCTTCTGAAAACATGCCAAACTTCAGCAGCATGTCACATATTTTATCTTCTTCCATAGATTCTTGTTTTGATTTGCAAATTACCATCCTCCCTCTATGGAATGTCAAAACGCAAGTCGCAAGTCCAAACATCATTCTTGTTTGGACTCCCCATGTGTGACCTAAGGTTATACCCTGGTGTCCATCTATTAAATGCAGATATTGTCTTTGTGTTATGCCTACAATTCTGCCACCCTTTTAACCAATAGCATACTGGCATAGGGGTCAATCAACTTGGTTGATTGAATTTGTAGAGCCTTTCACCACATAGTTTCAATGCAAGAATCCTCACTCAGCTGCAGCAGGTACTAGTAGTTAGTGCATTTTCTCTAAGTTTACTGTGCCCCACCTTCCATAATTTTGGTGGTAATGAAATAAGGGATCATACATTGAAGTGCATTGAGATGAAGCTCCCAATTTCCCTTTCTTTGGGCTTGGGTGAAGTATAGCAAGATTTGGACCATGTCCATGTATCACCACCAGAATGAAGTTAGCCTTGTCTTCCTTGTTCAGCTCTATGAAAGATTTTAATCCTGATTCAGATCCAATGTTGAGGTTAATGTCATTCTGAATCTTTTTTGAATACTTCAATTTTAGACCTAGTATATGAAGTATATTCAATGATTTGACCTGTTAAGTGGCTCAAATCTACAGAGAAACTAGTCAGAATATAACATATATCAAACCTCCGAGCTATGAAACAGTAGTAGATACTAATATACCATAAACCTGGAAATAATAAGTGTATTGTAATAGTGCACCTTAATACTGTCTGTTTAGACCTTTATTTGTAATGATTTTCAATGATTAAGCCTCTTAGATGGTTGAAATAAACAGAAAGTCGGCTCGGAATATGTCATACATCAAACAACTAATCTATGAAATCATAGCTAGTTCAAGTATACTCATACAGGGTGTCCAAAAAACAGGACCGAAGAAAAGTTGTTTAATGATAATCTGCTCATTAAGTAAAAAACTGCAGCACTTTACAACACATGCCCAATGTGGCCACCACTCCGGCCTACGAAGCTGTTGATGACTCTCCTACTCATAGCAACATGGATTGCAAAGCTTCTGATGAAGCTATCCACTTAAAATTTTAGGCATGTAAAGAAAAACATCTGAAAATCTGTCTGACACTAGTTTTACTTCTCTAGATAGATTTTAGTCATGCCATGGACAATTGAACAACTTCCTTCGCCAGATTTGATTGTGCATGTCGAGGAGAAGTGGCCACATTGGACATATGTTGTAAAGTGCTGTAGTTTTTGACTCCATAGGCAGATTATCATTAAACTTTCACAACAAAATTCACATTGAATGAACTAAATAACTGAAGTTTTAAGGCAGAATATGCAGGATTGACCGGGTTTTCGTAAAACACCGACCGCCGACCACCGACCACCGACCAGT